TTGTCAGTTACCATAATTGCCCTGGATGGACAAGAGCATTTTAAACTGTGGTTTGTGTGATTAAAGATTTCAGATGTTACTGTAGAGTACTATGTAACCACCCTGCTATTTCCTGCAGCATGCGATGCCATTCCTACATATGTACCACCGTACTCCAGCTGGTCTATTCTGGTACAGTAGTCAGGAGAGCTGACTGTGGATTTAACTGGTGCATTTTAAATAGGATGTGAAGAGTGCACCGTGAGACACAACCCAATGCAACCACAGGGCTGTGCAGTTAGCTCAACTGCTACATATTTTGATGCGGATCTGGTTGGAGATGAAGTTGCTTTGGCTCTGTTTGTGCGAGTCAGCTTGAACGAGTTTAGGGCATAGAAACCAGTACAACTGGTTCGCGCTGAGAAGTGAGCTATTCGCAGGTGAGCTCAGGCCCTCCCTAGGACCCTGCCTTGGCTCAGTCCCGCGGGGCCCGGGTGCCAGCGGGGCACGGCGGTCCCTCTCCTCGGGGGATACGTGGGGACCGAGCAGTGCCAGGGAGCGGGAGATGCCGTCATGCCCACCGCTGGCTCCGGTGCAGCCCGGCGTGCAGGTGCGGTGCGAGGCGCAGCGCCTCGGAGTCTGCTGGGGCAGCTGACGCGGGCAGACGGGCACGCCCGCGGTGCTCCGGGGACAGCGCTTCCGCCCCGGGTACGCTGCCGGGGGCGCGGAGCGTTTCTGCGTTGGACAAAGGCACGCGTCGGGCTCCGGCCGAGGCTCCCGGGCGCGGCGTTGGTGGCCCCGCGGGACCCGCGGTGCCCGCACGCGGCGCTGAGCGGCCGCCCCCGCCCCGCCGAGGCGGGGCTGCGCAGCGCGGGCGGCGGCGGCGCCGGGCTCGGCATCCCCGTGACGCGGAGCCAATCAGGGCCCCGAGCTGGCGCTGCGGGCCCGGCCCCGCCCGCCGCCGCTCGGGCACGGGAGCTGCGGACGGGGAAGCGCTGCCGCGGGAGCCCGCGGTCGCTTCGCCGCGCTCCATGGAGATCGAGAGCTTATGCGGCGGGGACGCTTCCGAGCGCTTCTGGGTGAGCGGCGGGATGGGACCGCGGCGGCTGCCGGCACGGAGGGATGGCGGGGAACCGGGTGGGGCTGGGATGGTGTCGGAGCCCGAGTGGGCTGCGCCCGGCAGCGAGGGAGCGGGAGCCGGCGGTGCAGGCGCTGCCCCGGGCAGAGCGCGGAGCCGCGGTGCGGCCGCGGGCTGGCGGAGCGGCCGGGCCGGGCCGTGCCGGCTGCTCGTGGTCTCCGCCTGGGCGCGATGTCCCCACGGCCGGGTCGCGGAGCGGGCGCTGGCGCGCCTCGTGTGCGAGGTTTCCGGCAGGGAGATGCTCGGAGGGGGGAACTGGCGAGGGGGGACCGGGAAGGAGCTCCCGAGTGGCCGGAGCAGGGCTCTGCCCACGCGTGCGGCCGCTCGGCTGCGTTCCTCGGGGCCGTGCGGGTAACAACAATAACGGTGTCTGGCGGCTGCCGTCACACGAGAGCGGTGCCCGCTCTAAAGGAGCTTTCCGCAGCTCTGTCGAGTGTTTGTACAGCGGTATTTTTTTCGCTCTTCCTTAAAGAAGAGTGGTGAGCGCAGGTGCTGGAAGGCGGCTGTGCGCAGGTGAGAGGTGCGGGTCCTGCTCAGCTGGGACGCGGGTTCCCGTGCGGGGACGGGCGGTCCTGGCAGCAGCGAGGCACCTGGGAGAGCAGAGCCCAGTGAAAATTCATCTCCGGAGCAAACTGATTGTAGAGGAAGTGAAGAGCTGGAAGTTAGGAAAAGAAATGTGGAGTGAGAGCTACTGAAGTCAGCCTAGGGAAAGGAACTACTTGTGTATTCATCAGATGTTTGCCAAATAATTTGAGCTAATGAGCTGCCTTACTAGTGAAAAAATAAAATCGATGTCTCAATAAATACCATTGTACTGTTTATCTCAAGAACCATTAAGATGTTACTGAGTAGATATTTTTAAAATCATCAAGACTAAGACAATTAGTTTTTTTCAGCTGATCAAAAGTGACTCTGCTAACTTGCTTTTATATTGCTTATACTAATATCTCTTTTCTGCTATTTCTCAAGTTTTTCAGAACTGGCTGAGTCATGAGTTGTCATTGCACATTTTTTTCCTTTTCCCTAGAATGAGACTTTTCATTTGAAGGGCTTAAGAGAATACATGTTTCAGAATGAGTTTATGGAAAAACTGACTTGAGAGAGTAGTAGGATTGTGAAAAAGAGCTGCCAGCTCATTCTTTGAGCTGTGGAATTGTAACACCAGGTAGACACAAGAACTACACATAGGATGTTGGAAGCAACTAGTTTATATAGGATTTCTGGCAACAGATTATTTTATTAGGAACTGTTCTCATATGTATTACAGCCATTTCTGGTATTTTTGTAAAAACTACATACATTTTGTCCACTAGTTGCATTGAATGCCAGTATTTTGGGATTTTTCATCCTTCTCCAAATCACATGGACTCTGCCTTTCATTTCTTCCAGCTAAAGATCCTGTGGGTGTGGTTGTTTGATTTCTGGGTTCTTCTGATTCTGCAGAAGGATAATTGTGCATTTG